GGCGGCGGTGGAGTGGCGGGGAGGACCAGGGGTCCCTCGCGCGCCTGCAGGTGGTCTCGGATGGCCGAGAGGCGGCCCGAGGTGGACCGGCCATGCGCACAGGCGGTCGGAGGCGATGGCGGCCGGCGACTGCGGTGCTCCCAGCGTGGTTTTGGACGGCGAGCACGAGCACGGCGTGTAGGAGAGGGAGGCGAAGCTAATGGCGTTGCTCGTGAGGAGCGAGGGGGACTGAGAAGGGGAAACAGCCGCGGCACCGGCGAGCTCGGAGCTCGGCCATGGCGGTCGCGCTTCCCGGCGCGGAGCGGAGCGAGGAGAGGGCAGAGAAGGAGTGGGAAAGTCGCTCGGCGGTCGCTCTGGTGCTCCACTACGCCGAGTGAGGCGCGGGGCACGCGGCAGAGAGCAGGGGTGAGCTCATGCATGGCTGCCACGCTCCCGGACGCGCGTCGCCCATAGAGACAATTCAGCGAACAGGTGGCGTGCGCCGAAGTGGGGAAAGTGGGACGCCGTTTTGGGCCGGCTCGGGTCCGAATCGGTCCATGGGCCAAAAATGAAGTTTGGTCTACACCTGATGCTCTCCAACTTTGCTTAAGGGTTCAGGGTCATTAGGGTTATGGTTTAGCAGATAACGTGCTCCTAACTTTGGTTTGTCAGCGTGACGACGGTGATTAGGAAAAACTCAGAATTAACCATCAACACGAAGCCAAACGGGTTCCAACTTTTTGCATGCTCTTCTCCATAATATAACCTTCCACTTTTATTTTTGGACCAACTCAATTTGCTTAACGAATTTCGGAGAACGCGGAATGCCAATGGCGACGACGATGAATTCCAGACTTAGAAAAATTCTAAGTCTGAAAACAGTCGCTGATTCAATTTTCGAGCCTCTGTTTGACTTAGTTCCAAGTTGATCTGGCTCTTGTTCCAAAAACAAAGTTTGTTCTACATGATATGGACTACAACTTTCATTCAAGGTCCAACCTCAAAACTGGTATAGAACCTACTGTTCTACTTTGACCAAAGTAGGATCACGATGAAGCTTAAATTATCCTTTTTGATCCATTGGAGCATTTTCTGGCCACCTGCTCAACATGAACCCTTCATAACTTTTGTTCATGAGTGCAAGTAGAGTTGTTTGAGCAAGGTACAAGGTTTGGTTGACTTCATAGGTTTCCATCCACTTGATAAAGCAATTCATGCAAAGATATGACTTATCATTTCATGTGACTTTTTGATTCCAAACTTCATGAAACTTTTCCATGGGTCTAGATGGATGCATGGGGATGTAATGTACATGGAATAAGCATGTTTAACATTACTCTTGCATAATCTTAACAAGGGTCCATATGTAAGCAAATGTGCGTGGCCCAAGTTTAAGTTGGAGCTCCATCATGTAGATTTGATCTTGACACCTTCATTACCACTCGACATGTCATGTTTGAGCTCAAACCCATTGCTTAACTAGTGACAAACACCAGGGGTGTTACACCCATGAGCCTCTACGTGCCATGCGCAACAGATTGAGGTAACAAACGCCAAGAATGGCGCCTCACGCAGGCGTGGCCGTGCACCGCGGCAGGGTCTGGCCGCGGTAGCCCAACGCCGGCGAAACCACCTAACCGTACGCCTCTACTGCTACTCGGTAACCATCTACAAGCTAAGAGTAATCACCTTGAAGCCCTAATTGAATCACTACTGCGCCCAACCGAGCTGGCCACAGGAACAACATCTAAGCCAGCTCGTCGGCGGCCGCCAACGCGCTTCGAGCTACCTAGCCACTAATTGACTCAACCGCCTATCCTAGGAGCAAGAGGGCCTCACCAGAGATGTGGCGGATGGGCTGGATGAAGTCACGAGGAACGACAACGGGCTGGCCACATGCGCGAGGTTGCTCCGGTTCACGCTGGCCATGGTGAAGGCGTTCCCGGTGCCCTGCTGCTCCGTCGGCGGAGCCACTGCACGGGAGAGGCGAACGAGTCAAGGAGAGGCAACAGCCCTGCCCGATTGAGACAACAGAGCAATGAGCATCGCCCCGGCCGAGCGCTCGCCTCGTCGGCCATGGCGGACCGCCGAGGGAAAAAATCTCCCCATTACCTCACCGTAGGAAGGAAGCCCGGCGAGATGACTCCAATCGGAAGCTAACTACTCTAGCTCGTAGTGTGCATGGTTAATTGGAAAGTTGTGGAGTATGCGAGGCCAATTTGCAGGGGCGACGCCTACGGACTTATGGCAGCCGGCGACGGCAAAGCTTAAATTGACGCCCCTCCCTTGTACCACCGCAACAGTGCCCGGTTAGGCTTGACGCTGTCCTCCCACTCGACCACCAAATGTGCTCGGTAACACGGATGGGGCCAGCGCATTGGTTTGGCGTTGGCGCGGCTCGGCCAGCCGGCGACCTTCTAGGTGATGTGACGGGAACCTTTGGCGTGGCCTTGCGCGCAAGCGTGAGAACGAGGCAAGCAAGGCAAGCCCACACGTGCGCACAGCCGAACGTCAACGAAAGCAGTAGCTGTGCGGCAGCGCCGGACGGCGCGCAGTGCGAGCGATGCGACGCGACGGCGAGCAGCAGACTCAGGCAGATGCGATGGGAAGGGGCAGAGCAGGCAGGCCTGCCGGGCCCAGCGTGCGCGCGTGCCGTGTGCCAGAGCGCGGCAGCAGGAGGCCGTGGACGGCCGCGCAGAGCCAAACGCGCGGTGTGCGCGCAGGCCACCGATCCGGGTCCTGTCACCGCACCTCCACCGATCAATTTACCTTTGTGGGATACCGGACTGCCGAACATCATTTGTCGACAGTAATAAAAGAGTAGGTGCATATATATATAGACACTACAGTGTTTGTAACTTTAATTTATACACTACCATACAGCAGTCTAATTAACCATACGTGTATCGTTCAATCCATGTTGACGTTTGGTACGTGCATGATATGCATGTCTATGATGGTGCGATCTGATCGATCGCGTAGTTAATTAATACAAAGCAGAAATAAATAAAGAAAGAAAGGGAAATAAGTGTGATCACTATACAGCCTGTTCGCTTGGTCGTATTTGGCTTATAAGCCATGGCTTATCAGCCAACAGACAATATTTTTTTCTCACACCAAACCAGCTAACAGTACTTTCAGCCATGGCTTATAAGTCAAACAAGCCCAAACGAATAGGACGATAGATGATGAAGAGCTTTCAACCGACAATGCGGACGCAATTTTTCACGGTCTGGACTGTCTCCAATGGATGACTTATATGGAGATCCAAACACAAAATGGGCCGTGGATGATACTGTATCGGCCTCTAACAGAATACTTATATACGAGACCTATTTTGGGTTACAGCAGAGGCACAACCCAAATATGAGTATCCTCTCTTCTGGAAACTCATTTGCATAAAGAGTTCTCTTTTAGGTCCTATTGTTGGAGAAGACAAAAAATACGTATTGAACCCTTTGCCTGCAGCATTACCCAAACATGGAATGAGTCTTGTATTTTGGGTGATATTGTTGGAGATAGTCTTAGCACGCGGCATGTCCGTGTCATGCAATGCAATCACTAGTTACACGTGCGCCAAAAGTTAAGTAGTATAATCCATGCACCTGTCAGCTAGATTTGGCTTTTAATGGCATTATTAAGGCAGTACACCTGTTCGCTTGATTATTTCTGTGACTTATAAGCTGACTGATGCTGTTTTGTTGTGAGAGAAAAACACATGGCTGATAAGCATGGAGATTTTCCGGAACCTATATATTGCATGCAGATGCATGTGCATGCATATATAGAGACGTGTATATATGCATGCACAGTTTATTTGTTGGCAGTGGCACAGTACGTACTTTCAGTACGGACTACGCACTTCATAGTCCATATTTTAGTAGTATTATTTATCCATGTTGTGGAGAAGTGAAAGCAAGAGTATATATCTACGACAACGACATATGCACGTACGCATGTAGGATGCGTGTACATGCATATATACGCATGCAATGATAATTGGTGCCGGCCGATTATTACTAGCTCGATCCATGGACAGGTACGCGTGCGTATATAGGTGTAGGCACCCGGCAGATTTTCTATAGTAGTTGGAGTCAATAAGTACTCGATCAAGTGCATGTACGTGTACGTACGTCGTATATATTAATATATGTACATGCACGATGATATGCATTCGTGTAGTACGTGCTTGTTGGGTATATATATACGTCTCATCACCATAAACACTGTGTGTCGTGTCATAGGTGTATATATATGGCACTAACAACTGCGTACTGCTTGGTCGATCAATTCGAGTAACAAGTCACCAATTAACTGTACGTACAGTCGTTGCTGAATTTTGGTCCTCCGGCCGGTTCGTCACAACGTCACGTACGGCGAGCTCTGCGTAGGATTGGAGTTCTTTTTAGTTCCTGACGATCCGACGCAGCCATTAATTGGAGGATACATGCATGCAGGAGATGATGAGAGATCGAGTAGCTTTTTGTTTAACGGTTGTATATAAAGTTTGGTGGCATACACACTGGCACATATATAGGACGTGACTACATACCTGCATAGTGAAACGAATGGATCAATCTCGGTTGGTGGCTGCCGGCCGGCGCCTGATCTGATCGATCGATCGATATTCGATAATACGTCTCCTGGCCCTCACGTACGTATGCGGATGCATGCACTCGATCGTACAGTTTCAGGGCCACAGACACGGCGAGGCTACGGTGCATGATTCATTGCCAGCTCTGTAGCGTGTACGTATCGTAGCAGCCTAAGATCAGAGCCCGGGCGTAGGCGTGGTGGCGTACTAATATATTCTCAGCCGAAAAGTGGGCGTCCAATATAAATCCTAGTGCTGCGGAAGCTAACTATAAATACCAGCTGCCCTCCCTCGTCCTCCTCAGACCAACACAGCCATTTCCTTCTTGCACTTGCACATAGCTAACTGCCAACTAACAGCTGGATCACAAGAAGCGATCGAACCAGCAATTTGTTAGCAAAGCACATACTTTTGACGTGGACCAACCATGGTCAACAAGCTCTCCACTTCCCTCCTCGCTGCCTGCTTCGCCGCCGCCGTCCTCCTGGCGCTCGCCGCTCCTGCAGTGCTCGCCGGCGACCCGACATGCTCCAGGACATCTGCGTCGCCGACTACAAATCCCTCCAGGGCCGTAAGTCATCGATCTCCAGTTCTACACACTAGCTATAGCTAGCAACATTGTTTTTCGGTGATCTCTCCAAGTCCACTGTCCACACTATATATATAATAATAATAACTATGCCTTGCAGCACTGCGGCTGAACGGATTCCCGTGCAAGAGGCCGGAGAACGTGACGGCGAACGACTTCTTCTCCAACGTGCTGGCGACCCCGGGCAACACGGGCAACGCGGTGGGGGTCCGCGGTGACGTCGGCGAACGTTGAGAAGCTCCCGGGGCTCAACACGCTGGGCGTGTCGGTGTCGCGCATCGACTACGCGCCGTGGGGCGTGAACCCGCCGCACGTTCACCCGCGCGCCACCGAGGTCATCTTCGTCCTCCAGGGCTCCCTCGACGTCGGCTTCGTCACCACCGCCAACCGCCTCTACGCGAGCACCGTCTGCGCCGGCGAGGTCTTCGTCTTCCCCCGGGGGCTCGTCCACTACCAGAGGAACAATGGCGGCGGCCCCGCCGCGGTGCTCTCCGCCTTCGACAGCCAGCTGCCCGGCACGCAGCCCGTCGCCGAGGCCCTCTTCGGCGCGTCGCCGCCCGTGCCCACCGACGTGCTCGCCAGGAGCTTCCAGATCGACGGAGGCCTCGTGGAGGCCATCAAGTCCAAGTTCCCACCAAAGTAATAGGCCTGTCATGCTCATGCATGCAAGCACCATGCACGTATTATACGCTGGTAATAACGAGTGCGTACTACTTACTCCGATCGCGAGTGTGTGATTTAATTGAAGAATTGTCATCACTTTGTATTCTAGCTGTAAAGCAAGTGTGTATGGGTCGATCAATTCGTTGGGTTCTTTAGTTCGTGGTGAGGTCATGATAGCCATGCATGGCTTCACCGACAGTTCACTGTTGTTGCGTTTCAATTTCTGCATGAGCCACTTGTATGTGTAGGGTGGTGTGTTTCTGTCAATGTGCAAATCCAGAGGAATGAGTGTCCTCATTATTGTTGCCTGGATATTGTTGCTCTTGCAACATATTCATCGGATAATAAATTATGTCGTCGTTCATCATCATGCATACACATCATCATTTAGAAATTGGAGTGGTCAAAACGGTGAGCAGGCGACCTGATAGTCCCTGTTCCTCCTACCGTACCTCCATCAAAGAAAGGAGCGCCATGGAGTTTTGATTAGTGGGGGCGGGCAATACGATGACATTTCATAAATATGAAAAATATATACATCAAGTATATGTCTCAATGGCTTTTCAATGTTTTTACATACGTATTTAGTATTCATAGCGAAAAGACACAATATTATCAAAAAAGGTGAAATAATAAGTTTTTTGAGCTATGCAATTGAAATTTTTATAGGGTATTAAATTTTTTTCAGGGGAGGGGGATGAGCCCCTACTGGCAAAGGAATTACATATTATCCTTATATTTCTGTCCGCTTCCATAATTATTGCTTTCATACCTCTATGGACAGCATTATTACAGAAACCATCGTTGCAGCTAAGAGTAGAGAGCACAGTAGCTTCTTCCTCGATCCTGTAATAAACAGAGAGAGAAAAAAGAAGGAATTAGGAAATGGAAGTACAGATCTAGAAGGGAGAGGGTGTACATCGAGGCTTACCTCTTGATATAGATAGCCCCCGCAGATCAGCAATATGATCTTCTCCTCTTGTTCTCCCGGTTTTTCCTCCTCCAAATCACTAGGCCGTAGAGGCCTCCTGCAAGAAGTAGCAGGCAAGTAACAAAAAGTGAGTGACAATGTGGCTCTTCCACCACGGATCGTGGTGGCTTTCATGGAAGCCTTGGAACGGGGCTTTTGCGAGGTTCAGGTGGTGGACGCCTCTGAAACGGGCACTTGTGAACTCCATTGCGCGATTTGATCTTTCCGCTCTAAAAAATGTTGGTAGAAGAGATTTGCACTCGCGTTTGACCGATGTGATGGTTAATCGGGCGCCACCAACAATTCTCAGGGTCCATTATAGTCCTCATACACGCGTTATATTCCTGTGACCGATGTGATGGTTAATTCTTGCAAAAGACAAATCACATTATATTCCTCGTATACGCATGTGACCGATGTGCTGGTTAATCGGGCGCCAGGCCCTGGCCCTACTGAGGCCGATCTAGATCAATCCTAATCGGACGAAGTGATATTGCTGTAATTAAATAAACAATGGAAGCGATAAGCAATATCCGCAACTTAATGAATCTATCCGAAGGAACGCCACCCTTAGATAGAACAGATAACTTGACCTTAACCTAGTTCGAGCAGCGGAGGTCGACCGGATCGATGCAGCCGTACTTGAACTAGACAAGAGTCGATTACTAGCTTATACCAGAGTCGTAGTGGAGGTCGACCGGATCGATGCAGCCGTACGAATAGAAGTATAAGCCATGACGGTACTTATAGACAAGCAGTGGAGGTTGACCGGATCGATGCAGCCGTACTTGCTGAAAAACTTGCCGAGATCTACTCTACTCTACTCCTAAGGGGTGGCCAGAGCCGAAAAAGTAAGTAACTTGTATTTGATTGATTGTGTGTTTTTTACACTAGCCGGGGTTTGATATTTATACCCGGAGCCTAAAAACGAATCCTATTCGAGTACGACTCGGTACAATCTTTGATACGAAGAAAATATTCCTATTTTAAGATAACTTGTACCATAATCTTTCTCTTTTTATAGAGTCCGACATGTATCTTCCCGACGTCAATTATATCTCATCATCGTTATCTGCTGACGTCATTCAGAGAGAACCGATCCCAGTGCCGCATTCGAACCGGCTGATATCAATCCTTATGCAATCGACTCCTCGATTGGCACAATCTTGGAAGCATGCGGGTTCCCGCGCCCTTCTCCCAAATTTTGGTGTAAACAAACCCTACCCCTCCAGAGTATATAAGGAGAGGCAGGGGTCCCCTAATCGACATCTACATACATCTCATATTCAATACAATACACCAAAGATACAGGACATAGGGTATTACGTCGATCAGACGGCCCGAACATGTCTAAATCGCTGTCTCTGCGCCTTGTGTCACCATCCGGGTCCTATCACGCGCACCTCCACCGATCAATACCCTTCGTAGGATACCCCTCGGAGGACTGCTGAGCATCTTTTGTCGACAGTAGTAGAAGAGTAGGTGCATATATATATATATACACACTACAGTGTTTGTAACTTTAATTTATACACTACCATACAGCAGTCCAATTAACCATACGTGTATCCTTCAATCCATGTTGACGTTTGGTACGTGCATGATATGCATGTCTATGATGGTGCGATATGATCGATCGGGTAGTTAATTAATACAAAGCAGAAATAAAGAAAGATAGAAAGAAAGGGAAAGAAGTGTGATCACTATATAGCCTGTTCGCTTGGTCGTATCAACGAATAATATTTTTCTCTCACATCAAACCAATCAACAGTACTTTTAGCCATGGCTTATAAGTCAAACAAACCCAAACGAACAGGACGATAGATGATGAAGAGCTTTCTACCAACAATGCGGACGCAGTTTTTCGCGGTTTAGACCGTCTCCAATGGATGACTTATATGGAGATCCAAACCCAAAATGGGCTGTGGATGGTTATGTTACAGCAGAGGCATAACTCAAATGTGAGTATCCTCTCTTCTGGAGACTCATTTGCACAAAGAGTTCTCTTTTAGGTCATATTATTGGAGAAGACCAAAAATAGGTATTGAACTCTTTGCCTGTAGCGATACCCAAACGTAAAATTTGTCTTGTATTTTGGATGATATTGTTGGAGATAGTCTTCGCACGCGGCGTGTCCGTGTCATGCAATGCAATCACTAGTTACGCGTGCGCCAAAAGTTAAGTAGTATAATCCATGCACCTGTCAGTTAGATTTGGCTTTTAATGGCATTATTAAGGCACGTACACCTGTTCGTTTGATCATTTTCGTGGCTTATAAACCGACTGATGCTGTTTTATTGTGAGAGAAAAACACACGGCTGATGGTAGATTTTCCGGAACTTATATATTGCATGCAGATGCATGTGCATGCATATATAGAGACGTGTATATATGCATGCACAGTTTATTTGTTGGCAGTGGCACAGTACGTACTTTCAGTACGGACTACGCACTTCATAGTCCATATTTTAGTAGTATTATTTATCCATGTTGTGGAGAAGTGAAAGCAAGAGTATATATCTACGACAACGACATATGCACGTACGCATGTAGGATGCGTGTACATGCATATATACGCATGCAATGATAATTGGTGCCGGCCGATTATTACTAGCTCGATCCATGGACAGGTACGCGTGCGTATATAGGTGTAGGCACCCGGCAGATTTTCTATAGTAGTTGGAGTCAATAAGTACTCGATCAAGTGCATGTACGTGTACGTACGTCGTATATATTAATATATGTACATGCACGATGATATGCATTCGTGTAGTACGTGCTTGTTGGGTATATATATACGTCTCATCACCATAAACACTGTGTGTCGTGTCATAGGTGTATATATATGGCACTAACAACTGCGTACTGCTTGGTCGATCAATTCGAGTAACAAGTCACCAATTAACTGTACGTACAGTCGTTGCTGAATTTTGGTCCTCCGGCCGGTTCGTCACAACGTCACGTACGGCGAGCTCTGCGTAGGATTGGAGTTCTTTTTTAGTTCCTGACGATCCGACGCAGCCATTAATTGGAGGATACATGCATGCAGGAGATGATGAGAGATCGAGTAGCTTTTTGTTTAACGGTTGTATATAAAGTTTGGTGGCATACACACTGGCACATATATAGGACGTGACTACATACTGCATAGTGAAACGAATGGATCAATCTCGGTTGGTGGCTGCCGGCCGGCGCCTGATCTGATCGATCGATCGATATTCGATAATACGTCTCCTGGCCCTCACGTACGTATGCGGATGCATGCACTCGATCGTACAGTTTCAGGGCCACAGACACGGCGAGGCTACGGTGCATGATTCATTGCCAGCTCTGTAGCGTGTACGTATCGTAGCAGCCTAAGATCAGAGCCCGGGCGTAGGCGTGGTGGCGTACTAATATATTCTCAGCCGAAAAGTGGGCGTCCAATATAAATCCTAGTGCTGCGGAAGCTAACTATAAATACCAGCTGCCCTCCCTCGTCCTCCTCAGACCAACACAGCCATTTCCCTTCTTGCACTTGCACATAGCTAACTGCCAACTAACAGCTGGATCACAAGAAGCGATCGAACCAGCAATTTGTTAGCAAAGCACATACTTTTTGACGTGGACCAACCATGGTCAACAAGCTCTCCACTTCCCTCCTCGCTGCCTGCTTCGCCGCCGCCGTCCTCCTGGCGCTCGCCGCTCCTGCAGTGCTCGCCGGCGACCCCGACATGCTCCAGGACATCTGCGTCGCCGACTACAAATCCCTCCAGGGCCGTAAGTCATCGATCTCCAGTTCTACACACTAGCTATAGCTAGCAACATTGTTTTTCGGTGATCTCTCCAAGTCCACTGTCCACACTATATATATAATAATAATAACTATGCCTTGCAGCACTGCGGCTGAACGGATTCCCGTGCAAGAGGCCGGAGAACGTGACGGCGAACGACTTCTTCTCCAACGTGCTGGCGACCCCGGGCAACACGGGCAACGCGGTGGGGGTCCGCGGTGACGTCGGCGAACGTTG